TTACATCCATCGACTTTTCATAACTGCACGTTGGACCGCGTCGGTTTAGCTGACTCTCCCGCAGAGAGACACTCTGTCCAGTATCGAGCGTTCATCATCCAAATGCAGACGCACGCACGGGATACGAATGATTCGAGTTCAAAATAACCGTGCGACGAACGGATAAAAATAAAGACGACGAAACGATCGAGTGGACATTCGACGCGAGCGGAGATTCGACGTTGTTACGCCATTGCGTGAGTAGAATATATTGATTTATCCCCCGATTTCGGCCTCGTCTACCCCGATCACACTGTCGTCACCGCCGCCTCGCCGTCTCTCTGAATTTCTCTTCGTCACTTCGAACCCGTGCATCCAACTCTATCTTCGATTGTGGAAAACCCTCGTTTCCCGTTTGCGCGCGAGCGACACTTCAACTCTGATTCACCTCTATCGGTGCGACATCCGTGCCGGAGCATTATTGTCCCTGATATTGACGATGTCGCCCTTGTTATGCTCGGACTTTGCGCATTGATCTGCACGGGATATATCCATATCCATATCCGTGGCGTGTCGATGATATTATGTCACGTTACGAGTCTTCGTACAGCCAGAATCTCTTCTTACTTGTCGACAAAAGATAGCAACGAAGATAGCTATACTCACGTACGTATTACGTACTAATGATGACAAACGCGATGAAATTGCTAACTCATATCGCCTATTTTTCATATTTTTTTCTTCCAACGTTTTCGTTTACTATATTTCAACATGCGCACATGGAAAGAACGGTTTTGCTAAAAATTTAACTAAATACATAATGAAACACATTTTATATTTTATATTTGTTAAAGACGGCCCACTCAAATCTTTGTTAAAATTTTATATTAAATTTTTTACACATTTGAGTGCTAATTTAACATTTTGTGATTATGTTATTTAAATATTTTGTATTAAATTGATATTTAAACTATTTTTTTGTGTCAAAATAATACAATTTTGAGTAAGTAAACAAATAGCATAAAAATAATGAGTTTTTTAAAACATTCTAAGAATGAATAAAATATATCTTAATTGTAATAAATTATAAATGTTAATTTTATTGAAAAAAAAAATTAACATTTTGCTTACAAATTGTGTCAATACTACATTTTTTTATGTTAATTTTTTAACATATTTATTTTGTAATATACAATTAAATTAATACTAAAATTTGAATGGACTGTTTCAAAGGACACGTAAAATATTAAATTTAACAAATTCCACAGATCTAAGAATAATTTTGTTGGACTAATTATGTAGGAACATTCAAGTATGATAATATTGCAAAAAGCTTTGCTATATTTCTAGCAACTTTTGAGCAGCCAATATAATTATTTAGATATAATCCAATAAAATTATTTTTAGATTTGTATATAAAAGATTGATAATTTATATTAAATTTAACATACTTCACGTGGCCTAAAAAATAATATAACTAAATTTTTATATTAATTTAATACAAAATAAAACTTAGGAAATAACAATACAAATATTATGTAAAAAATTGACATAAAAAATATAACATAGACATAATCTATAAACAAATTGTAGAAATTCTTCAGTAAAATTAACATTTATAATATGTTAAATTAATATTTTATCTATTTATCTTAGAATTTACGTAAAATACATAAGTTTTATGTTATTTGTTCATAAATTTACTTTAACACTAAGAAACGTTAAATATCAATTTAATACATAATAGTCAAATAACACGATAACATTATGTTAAATTAACACTCGGATATATTAAAAATTCAACACAAAAATTTTAACAAAGATTTTAACACAAATACAAGATGTTTTCTCCTATGTGTTTAAATTTTTTGATAATTCAGCAAAACCATTTTGCGTGCAAATGGATTTATATGTGAAAAATTTCAATATTAATAATTTTCTTTTTATATCACTGCATTTTTTCTCTCTTGCCAAAGTAATATGAGAAACTGTAATGCAATTTAATTTCCAAAGTAAATATGAATTAGATTAACCCATTTGATAATAAATGTAAAAATAGTTCTCTTATCATAGTTCGCAAAATGTTATTTTGCATCAATGATTCTGATGTTTATCAATATTTATTTTCATCTCCGGGTCTGTCTCCGCAATCGCATGGAAAACATCGATTTTTCCATCGGTTTTACGAGTAAAATCGCAGAAAAATTACCCGTGTCATCGTTGATGCAACCTCTAACGTCATCATTGCATCTACAATCGAGCGTTATTGCGAGAATTCTATTCAAATGGTAGGAGTTCTCGAGAGCCTCGAGCGTCTAAACATTCCTCGGATGTAATCGAGTTGGTGCAATTGCGTTCGACACGGAGGGGTACAACGGAAAATCGAGAAACACCACTGACGAAGGTTACACATTTCTATCTTTAGCTCTCGTATTTTCATGAACAGAAATATGGATAAAAAGATCAGTCGGTATCTAGTAATGAAAATCTAGTATTCCCTATTTTGTTTTGGAAGTTTATCTACTGTCTAATAAATCTTCCACGATTAATCATTTACTGCGGATGCATGGCGAGTTTAATTTCCCTTAGAAACACACATCAGAATCGTTGCATTGTGCCCATGTGCAGTGAAAGAGAGTAATTAACAAATAAGTTGGAACAAAATAACAGTTTAATTTTTTATAAATATAAAGAAAATAAAATAAGATTATAGTCTTGAAAGATGTAGTCTTAATGTTCTTTTTATTTTTAATTATCGTTTTAATAATAGTTTTAATATTAATTGAGAAAGAGAGAAAGGGGAAAAGGAAGAATGAATAAGAACATGCTTAATGTTTTAGTAGAGAAAGTATGAATAAGGGAAGGTAATCTAATATCATTTGCATCAAAGGGTGCGTAATGGCTCCTTAGCTCTTTATTACACGCTCAAAGCCCATTTCATGTAAGTAAGACGAACGAGTATTAATGAGAAACAATTCGTCGTGATTTGCACATCGTCTCAAAATAGGTGGGAAAATGAACCATTCACCATTTATATGGTAGATAGTAGGAATACATTAGATCGTCAAATTACCAGATATCGGATATCTGGACAGAATGTATAGTATCGGATACAAGAGAAGGCAATTTCTTCGAGTCGGATATCCGACATTTTCCGGATATCCGACCGGATTTCGAGAAAGTGTCTTCTTAAAAAAAAAAAAAAAAAAGCCTACAGAGAAAAAGATGGTAATTTTGCAACAATGTATAAGATCCCTATAGGCGCAAAATATTTCTATAAAAATGAGTTATTATAATATTGTATATTTTTTAATGTTATGAGAGTATTCTACGGATGTTATATATCCACTTATATAAATATATTTGCTACATTTCCTTTAACATTCTTGAAATATTTATTAATATTAATTATTTTTTATATTAGTGCAGTTTGAATTCACAATCCAGTAACGAAAATGTCTTATTAATCTATGTTGCGTCTTGTGCTCAAATAACGTTTCCGTGTGATTTTACATGTCTAGTCCTACAACTCTGCACGCCAAAATTATTTTCAATCTTTAAACATATATTTAAACCGAATCGGTATAAGTTTTACAAATTAAAGTAAATGTTATGATACTTTTTAATGTTCATACAATATTACAATAACACTAAATAATGTTACTTTTAATAATCATGTAATATTATCAGGAGTGGCCATCCATTAATATTTCGCGAATATTATTTAATATTATATAATATTTCAGTAAAATATTCTTCAAATGTTACGTTTAATATTCTGGAAATATTATTTAATATTAAATGATATTATGTGTCTACAGGGTATAGAATAAAATGCGAAAAGAAAACTCGCATCCTCCAGAGATAAATTTGGAAAATACTAAATTACTCGTTAACCTTTCTTATGATCAAATAAAAGATACTGAATTTTTTTACATGGAAATAATTCATCCAAGATGCAATATTTTCAGCTTAGTATTGATAAAAATAGAAGAATTGCTTCAACACTTCTCACATACATTTGTTATACTTACTTTATACTCATAGGACTTAAGTAAGATAAATGATTAATAAGATAATATAATATGCCTGAAATTGTACATATTGATCTTATATTTTATTATGTTTATTATTCGATTAATCATGATAAATTGACAATAATAATAATTACAATATTAATAATATATAATAAGAGTAATGATAAAAAATTAATTTTCTTCGGTTCAGTGACAGCTGCCTCAATGCCGTAAAGTTCCTAGCAATTCTACAGAGTTTATATTTAGTGCAAGTATTGCAGAGATTGCGTTTGTGTGTCTATATAGTACACACATGTTGTACAGTCAATTCTTTATAAATTCTCTAATCTTTTTTTTTCTTTTATAATACTTTAAATATCTCAATTAAGAAAAAATAAATCAAAATACATTAACTTGCCCTGAGTAATATGCCCAAGCCTTTTAAGAAATAATTCACTTATCTCAAATATTCAAAACTAAATCATACATTTAAATCAATGCTCTGATACATATGATCGCTGATGGCCTCATTTCTTTATCATATATAGAAAGCGTGACAAATCGTTCTATTGTCAAGAATTACGTTTTCTCCATTTGTGTATGCTAGAATCTATGCTAGAACGAATTATAGCTTTGTTTTGTGTTAAATGCATTGAAAAACTGTAGAAAAAAAATGAGTAAGACAATTTTTATAAGCAGTTCTCTTTCGAAATATTAAATTTTATCATTAGAAATATTATAGGAAAGGAAGCTATAACACGATCCATTATACAGATAACATACCTGGAGACACGTATGCTATGTAAATATTTACTACAATATAATATTTTCATGCATTATGCAATAAAATTACCTGACATTCACGAATATTTATGTTTAATAGTAATGTCAGAGGAGCCACTTTTGTTAGCAATCTACTTAATTTGTAATTTCTAATTATTATTAAAATAAACGTATCTTTAATAAAAAAAAACAAACAGAAATAATTTCAAAATATTGTCCGAGAAAAAAGTAGAGTGCATGTAATTATAAAACTCTTAAAATCAATACATATACAGGGTGTCCCAAAACTAATGACAAATACTTTAAGACAGATTCTTTGTAACATTTTAAGACAAAAAATCTAAGTAATATAAAAATATCGAGGCTACAATAGTATTCAAATAGGAAGAGTTTAAAAATTACAAATGACGGAGACAGATTTTCACACATTTAAGAGTGGCAAGATCAGTATAAAAAAAGTTCTTGCTCGAACTTCATGTCTTTGACAACAAAATTCAGTATCTTTACACTCATAGCATTAACATTTTGTGCACGAAAATTAGCATTTTTTAATGTTACAAAGAATTTGTCTATAAAATATTTATTGTCTTGTTTTAAGACACAACTTGTCTGTAGATACATTTTTGTGTGCGAAATTATTACGTAATATTTCAGAATTTTAGAAAATATAAACGATAAATGATAATGTGATTATACCGTTAAAAAATATTTACGCCTTTAATATTTTTTCATTAAAAAGAAATGAAATTATTTCATACAATAATTGAACAACGTTTGTTTTGAAATGCATAAAGTATTTTCAAATAATTTGTGCAAGTTAATTTAGTGGCGCCTCGACATACTCAAAAATAAAATGTGACGGAGTATTAGAAGTGTCCGTTAATATTTCAGGTGGTGTCAACTCCATTGGATGAGTGTCCCTCCATGGATCGATATCATTTCCACCAATATCTAATCCAAGTCGTAAATTAGCTGGTGTATTGCCAATAACAAAGTGGTCTTCAGTTAAAGGCAGAGCATCCTTTAATAAAAGCCTATGAGGAATCAATGTAAAATTATTTCATGTATTAATAAGAAAAAATAAATCAACGAAGAATCCATAACTAATGTGATTTTCTTACCAAATGTCTTCATCAGCCACAATATGAACCTTAGGAATGGGAAAACCATTAAATGGTGAAGCAACGGGTAGAGTGTAGGCTCCCATATTTTCAAAAATCATCCACTCGCCAAGTTCCATGTCATTCAACATGATGTTCTCAACGATTTTGTCTAGTCCATCACATGTTGGACCCCATACGCTCGAAGGAATCATCTTTCCACAGCCATTCTAAAGACCGACACATAGATATTGATTTAAAAAGAGCAGAAAAATATTACATTGGTATTTCATCTAAATAAAACACCTTACCTTCAAAGGAATAGGAGTCACATGCTGATGATCGTACAGCAGACAATTGAATGATCCATAAACACCGTCGTTGATATAATACATATTGTGCGTAATTGCGCTGGAATTTTCATCTCCGCGTATAGAACGTTTGCTATGAATACTCGTTGCCAATGTAAATGCAGATGCAACGTAAAAGCGGCCCGGTTCAGCAATCACGTGAACAGCATCAGCTAAAAAGTTTTTTATTAAAATACCTAAAATGTCTAAACCAAAATATACTGGCATAACTAATGAGAAGAAAACAACTTACTGTTGAAGTATTCATCGAGAGCTTTATTAATAATCTCGGCAATTTTATCAATGCTTGTGCCTTTGTTGCCTGGATAACCTCCACCAAGATCCAAGAGATACGGCTTAAAGCCAAGATCGGTAGCCATGTCGAATAATATCTTGCAATGATGAATAGCGCGATAAAATACCGGTGGATCTTGACATCCAGAACCAACGTGGAAACTGAAGCCTACTACGTTAAGGCCTAAGTTATATGCAAGATGTAAAAGATTAGGAGCCTCATGTATCGGATCACAACCAAATTTCATGCCAAGCGGACACTGAGCCATTTCCGCATCGCAACGAATTCGTAAAACAATCTGCACAGATAAGGAAGGATACAATCAAGATACAATCAAAGTAAAATTATCACTGTATTCGAAAAAGATACGCAGTATGTGCTGAAATTATGTAATGTGCAATTACCTTGGCCGTTGGGAAAAGTTTTTTAATTTTGTGCAGTTCACTTTCATTATCTACTGTCATAGTTTCCACACCTACTGCAGCAGCATGACGAATATGTGAAGCCGGTTTGGCCGGATTAGCAAAAATAATTCTTGAAGACTCTATACCAAAGCTTAACACTTTGTTTATTTCATTCTGCAAAGTAAAAATATATATATTTTTTTTTACAAAATGTACCTGTTAATGTGCATCTCTCTCCATAATGAAAGATATATTTAATATTTGATCTTACCTTAGATGCACAATCAAAATTGACACCAAGGGCCGCTAATACTTCGATTACCACCAAATTGTCATTACATTTTACAGCTGGAAAAAACAAATTTCTATAAGTAACCGTGCATCATATGAAATAAATTTCAATTATTAATGACTTACCATAGTAGGGTTCAACTCGTGGCAATTTTTCTTTCCAGATTTTATGCTTTTGTACAATATCTCCTATATCCAATACGTAGAAAGCTTCTTCTTGTAAACCACTCATTGCAATGTTTTTCATAACGGTCATAACATTGGACTCACTGTCCAAGACATGGATACGTTCGTCTAGATTTGTTACCTTCATGTTGATTGAATTTGATCGAATTGATTAGTACTCTGTAGGTGCTAGGCAGCAAACTAAAAGTCAAATAAACATTATTACATGTTAGATATAAGCGTAAAAAGTAAATATCAATTTTTCTGTTGCAAATTTTAATGAATTTAGTTTTTTTAATGTAACAAAAACATACGAGGCAGCTGTCAATGCTAATTAGGTGAGTCGTGAGGAAGTGGATTAAGACAAAATCACTGTGGGGGTGCTAGCAAAGCCACGGGGGCTCTGCATTCAGGGTCAACTTCCAGTTGCCGCAGTTATTCAAACACCCACGAACAGACTGGTCGACCAGTCTATCGCAGATAGAACCCTGCAAAGAACAAAAAATAATTTCTATGTTAGCTGAATAATGTTTACAAGATTTATCGTATAAAAGACGTTAATATTGTCATTTAATTTCTAAAAAAAAGATGCTAAATGTAAACCAGTAAATATAACAAAAAACCTCTTTATTAATAAAGGAGAAAGTAGCCGTTTAAATACATGTTCATGAATTATGAATATAATAAACATTTTTATCATATATTGGCCAGAATTTTATCTTATCTTAATCTGTTTATCTTAATTTTATCGAAGCCTGTGTTGTTACATTAAAACGATATGTGAATCATAAGAAAAAAATGTTGCTAGTAATTTTTTATTAATTTAATTAAGATATCAAATTTTTAATTTAATTTGCCCATTCTTTTACATGTTTCTAATAAGTATATGAAAATTTATTCTGTTTTTTCATTGTAGCTATACATATTATGCATTTTATACCTAATATAATTACATTAGACTTTAATTTAATGAAATAGAATCTGGCCCTACCTGAAGAGAAGTAATTCTCGTTTTTTTATATACACAGCAGAAAAATTAATTATGTCACCGTTTAGAGGTTTTGAAAATATTTTCAAATTTTAGAAATTCCTCTATTGCGTCTCATATGTGTACAAAACAAAAGTAAAATAAAAACGTTCCGCGAGCTATTTGAAACGTAACGTTATATTATACGTATATTACATAGACGTGAAAAATTCGTTTAATGACGTCTGAACAGACAGAAAATCAAAATGATACTGCGACTCGAGCTATTAATTGGGCCATTATTTATATAAAGAAGATAAGTAGTATCAGCCCGTCTTTGCGTGTTGTATCAAGTCTACTTATACAAAATTATCTAACAACCAAGATGGTTAATCAGCCGAATTAGACTGGAAGGATAATATAAATGTTACTCAAGAGTCAAACTCCAATTGAGGACGGGAAATACCGTCATATTAATCTATGTAACATGATTGATTATCGATTCAAAGTACTATATCAATGATTGGACACATTACATATAAAAAAATATGTATCTTTAATATATTGTTAAAAATAACTTTCCGAAAATTCATCAAAAGGAAGTAAATATTATTGTGGAATAATAACGATACAAAAACTTATATAAACATTTCTCAGATAAATATCTTAGGATATTACATAATTCTAGAATAAAGTGTGCAGAAATGCCTTTTATTGAATTTTAATACGGATATAAAGTATACATCCACAATAAATATTAAACTACGAAGTTGTGTTTTTAAATGTTGTTTTGTATATGCTAGAAACTTTTTCATACATGTCCTCGTAAAGTAAACAAGAGCAGCTTAAATTTATGCTTCCTAATACTGAAAAATATATGATAATATTCAATTATATATAAAAGTTGTATAATTAAGATTAACAATTTCTTATTTCATCAAGCAAACTCATATAAAGGAGAATTCTTACATAACAATAACAACGGCTTCCGCCGGTTTGAAGAGGAAATACTGGTCTGAATAAGATAGTACAGGTCTTAAGATATGAGTCAACGACTACTGGCCATTCTACAGACATTGATGTTAAAACAAGTGGTGCGAAACAAATGAGAGAATTTGAAAAACATGTCTTATCATCGTTATAGATTAAAAGTTTTCACATAAGTTATAAGGATAACATGCTTTAATAACAATAATATACAATTTATATACTTTAATAATAATTAGTTTATAAAAGTATACGTAAAAATTATAAGATGAGTTAGATTAATAAAATTAATCTCTCTTCGATATTCGAGATTTATTCTTTACTTTATCATTGAGTGAAAAAAAGTATATCTAAAAAATCAATTATATATTTCTAAATTTATATATATATATTTTTAGACATTACAACATTTTGAATTATTATTATTTTGAAGTTTGTGTAAACTAAAGAAAAATTTAATACTTTGAAACATTATTGTAAAAAATTGCTTATATAAATACACATATTCCAAAGTTACGTATAAATTCAAAAAGAATCACAAAATGTAAATGATTTATAAGATTATTTATATTTTCATAAAAACATAAAATTCTCCTGAATTTTTTCACATAAGTACAGCGTATTTTGAAGAAAAAAATAAAATAAAAGTATTCTCACAAAAATATACATCTAACATCATTAGTTAAAAAATATTTTTTAAATATAAATACAAATTTTATTCTAAAATCTCAATTTAAAATAAACTTTGAATAAGCTTTAGTAAAATAATGACCGACTGCTTGCATTGTTAAAGAATGGTTTCTTTACGATACAGCTTATCGCATTCCCCTCTTCAATCACTGGATTCGAATTCAATTGAATATATCTAAGCTGTGATAAGCAGAATTATAAATACAAGTGCAAAAACCTTAAACAACGCATAATATAAAAAAAGTGTTAAAATGAAGTTATCCTCGATATTGCAAGAAATTTCATCCTCTTATTGCTTAATTGGAGAAGCAAAACAGCATTTGTCAAGCATTTCTTGTAAACTTTGACATACCTGTGATCTTTGTATGATATTTGTTTCTGTGTTTATCAATATTTTTCTTAAACAACATTTAATAAATGTATTAAGTTTTCATATATGTTTCTTATTTCAATTAATGATTTAACGCTGAGATTATCAAATTCTTGCATTTATGTTATATTATAGAATTCTGTAATAGAAATATCCAAACTTTTAAATAATTATATGTAAATAACATATGATTTATTATTACATACAAATTTTAAGTAGATTTTAAACACAAAGCATGTAAAAATGTTTTAAATATAATAAATTCTAAAGCAATCTGTAGTAACCATTCAAAAATAATAGTTTAGTTTTCCATTAAAAAAAAAAAATAGTTTCAGTTTTTATCAAAGTATAAAGTATACAACACTTATATTTTATCTCAATATGTTTCAACAAGTAATAACATTCAACTTTTACTTCAACGATACTTTGGGAAATATAATATGTACAAACATATCAATATGCATTATCAAGTGATATATGTAAATGAAAGAGTACAGGAACAATAAGAGCAGCATTCTTCCCTCCAAAGCGAGACATAATTAAAGTGATTACGAGAACAACCAGGGAAGTGTCAATTAACTTCGCAAAACATCAATTAATCAGTGAACTTTGAACTGAACGATCCAAGTAAACAGAAATCAACCGATTTCAACAGGACTCGATCGGCGTATCATTACGCAATTATCGTAGGGGTCCCTTCCCCATAAGGCGAAAGCGTGAAGAAAGCGAGACAAGAAATCTATGCGTCATCGTCCGCAAATAAAGATTTTCACGTGACCATCCATATGATGGTTATTCTTTCCCTTGCCCTCTTCGCTACCCCGGTGATGATACAGCAAAGATTCTGCAAGAGGCTGCTCCAGGCTGTTCCAACGGATACGTACCTTATCGGACGATCGCCACCCTGCGGGTCGGCACACGGTTATTGACGGAATGATGGAAGTTTTCGGTGACCGGATCGCAAAAATCAGTCAGATCGATCGTCGGGCGTGGACCGGCGAGTCGCCGTTGTCCACCGTCGTCGTTGTCGTAATCGTCGTCGTCGCCGCCACTCGGTCGTCGAGCTTTCGAACAAAATGTAGTCCGTACGTGTCTATAACGAACATCCGTTTCGCTTGTGACGGTGCAAAAGGTGTCTTTACGCGTCACGTGTGAGCATCGCAATCGTGGTCTACCTTGAATCCCAAGCGTAAAGATTATTTATATAGTTACTGTAATTTTGCTTCAAGATTGACGAGGAAAGCCTGGAATGCGACACCCACACGAAAAGTTATACCTCGCCGTCCACGCCAACCAACCACCCACAGCTCTGCCCAGCTCTGCCTTGAGCTCAGAGCTGTTCACAGGTATACACCTCCACAGTTCACTCCAGACTCCAACCCACCCGAATCCTGCGCTTGCACTCTAGAAAAAATGGGCGTGTTGAAGTCGTGGTAAAGCGGTTGCTCGCTAAGCAAATGAATATGATTGGTTGTTCCTTATAGATCCAGAACCACTTTCACCAAGCTCCAATTAACTTAACCGGTCTAGTAACTTTGCAGGATTACAACAGAAGCTGATGTCAAAGAAAAAAATGTGAACTGAAGAGTTAAACATATTTCACTAAGGGTCGATTGTTCCTCCTTTTGATAAATTTTACTTGTTGAATAAATAGCAAGATTACTCAGGCTACTGTCCACTTGATATTACGAATGTTTCGAAGCATTTTTTAATAGTCAGTTAGTAAAATTCTTTCTTTCGATAAATCAATCAAAAGTTTCGAAGCATTTGTAGCGTCAAGTGGACCACACTTACAATGACTGCGTCCTATCTTTTCATTTAATATCAAACAAGACAGATAATGAATTCGAGGCATCGGAGACATTCGAGTGACAGTTCCGAACGCAGCCAATCACATGTGCAGATTGCCAGATTTACCTAAAGCTGGAAACACAATAAGCACAGGAAATAGAAACAGGGAACAGGAAACAATAAGCCCTTCAATCAGAGCTTTAGTGCGGAAAAGGGCTGTGAAATAGAAAATGGTTATTGAAATTAGCGCTATCTAAAATAATGTTGAATAACGCTGATTAATTGCTTCTATGACTAGCATTTTCTATTCCGCAATCGTTTTCTACATTGTGTGATTTTACCCTAAGCACCCTAAAACTTTTACGTGCAATAGCCTTAATGCCTAATTCACACTGGACGCAGCGTTAAGGTGCATCCACAATAGAAGGAAATGTAAACTTCCTTCTATTGTGAAAATTGATACAACAATTGAACCTCAGGAGACATTACTCTGTAATCCGGGCTTAAGATACTATTTCATTTGTGCGTTTTTGTCGTACGAAAAATGTGTGCAGAAGAGAGATCCTCGGATCTTTCTATTCTATAGCCAATCAACAGGCTTGAAAAATTTGTCGTACGACAAAAACGCACAAATGAAATATCATCCTGACTGTAGGGATTAAAAAATTGTTTTAGGGAATGTAGGGATTTTTTATTATTTTGATAGGGAGGATAATTTTTTTATCTCTGGCAATACTGGTTGGTGTTTCTAACCTTCAAAATGTGTTGAGTATGCATGATGGGTCTTATATAACCTCAGCATGAATTATAGGATCTAAAATAGTAAGTTATTAATACAAACAATTGTAATACAGTGATCGAACTGAGAGATGTTATTATCTGATTGTAAAATAGTGCCATATGCAATCTGACGACGACTGCTTTCTTCTAAGAATGAAATTTTGTCATTGACACATATATGTATCCTTTCAGAAAAATTTTACGAATGTGCAGCAGACTGCAAGTAGCGGCCGCAAGTTTCGAATTAATCCCTAATAACAGGAAAAATAATATTTTAAAAAGGAGAGAATTGTATTTGTAGAATGACATTTATGTCGATACTGATAAATTACATACTTTACATCTGATCTTTAATATGTATGTAGCGTTCATACAATCCTCATTTAAATTTAATATGTTGCACTCCACAAAGTCACAATTAGCGCGACTTTACTCGACGAAACAACATACTAGGTCGAAGAATCATTATGACACATTAAATATCACGCCATATGCCACTCAAAGTGAAGTAAAATCCGCATATTACAAGCTAACTCTGCAATATCATCCCGACAAAAATAAAAGCAAATATGCCAAACAAAAGTTTCAAGATGTCTCAGAGGCTTATGAAGTGCTCAGCAATCATGATCAGCGTAAAATTTATGATCGAGAGATAATGATACGTCAACAACCAGTATCGACTACCACTCAGGAACCCATTTCCGATGACAAGCACAAAGTTTATTCAGGATCGTCAAGAATTTATAATTTTGATGCGTGGACGCATGCACATTATGGAAAGCAAATGTACGCAGCACGCATCAGGAGACAGGCATATGAGAACATGAAAGCAATGGAAGAATTAGATACTCGTTCAAAGAAGTCTCTTCCATATATAGAATTTGCCTTGTTTTTAGTAACTCTAGTATTCGTTGCTATGAGTTTTCGAGAAAAATTCGATGTTCCAGTATCTCAGAGACATAAGACAGAAAGTAAAGATAAATGAAATTATGTTTATTTATTTAATTAGTGTAAATTTGTTTTTATAATGAATGTACAAAGTTTATTTTTATGCCCCCTTATTGTTATTAAAATAAGGACAATATTAAATAGATCATGATGAAGAATTCAAGAATGACAAGATATTTATATAGTCCTTTAAGAAATATGCTATGTACTGTGATAGAAATTGTTATTAATAGCATGCAATTAATGCATTCAAATATGCATATTCAAACATAAACTTTTAGATATTTCACAAATGGGGCAGACAATATTTTAGAAATATTAGCACGCTAAAACTGTCTATCATTAATAGTTAAATAACGAAGGATTTAGGTAAATGTAATAATCAGCTCTTTTACAACATGTCAGCAATATAAAAATAGTGAAAAATTAATGTGCAAAAGACATAATATACAAACAGCATCGGATACCTTGTGATCAAAGAAATTATAAGTGGAAAATCATAAAAACAAATAAATACATGACATAACTTTTCACATTAATATGGTCTATAAACTGGTAATCCTGGCATCGGCATAGCTACTGGTCCAGTTGGATATGGTATGGAGGGCGCTAGTCCAGGGAAATTCGAAGCGATTGAAGGATAACCAGGAGTGCTGTTTGAATGTCCTTTTCTTATTATCTCTCGTAGTTTATCTACTTTTACTTTACGTAAGTGCATTAATTTTCTTCGAGACAAGAACTGATCCAAGAACTCGTCTACTTCAATATCACCGGCTAGAAATTTCTGCGCTATCCCCTATACATTAAAAGGATCAAAAGTTGGATAGTTTTACTAAACAAGTGAAAATTTTGTTTACCTCCGACTCTTCTTCAATCTCAGCGGCCGCTGCTTGCAGCAGGTCAAGTGCAGTATCAACTGTCATTGTACCAGACTTATCACCTAAAAATATATG